AAAATTCACTAGAATGTAGAAAATTCATTAAAACAACACAATTTCATGAAAAAAAATTATATTTATATGCTAAATATAAAATATGTTAGAGAAAAATGATGATTTTTCTAGAAAAAATGCATATGCATGTGTATATCGGGCGGGTTCGGGTTGGATAGTGAGAAAACCATGCCCACCCATTACCCGCAATATTCGGGTTCGAGTTTTACCCGTACCCGCTAAAAGTCGTTCGGGTTCGGGTTTTACCCTACCCAACAAGGTCGGATTCGGGCGGACATCCATGGTTACAGATATTTTTGTCATCCCTATTACTCATAATCAAACGTAATTGACCCATCTTGACTAAATATGACCTGAATAAAACCAGCTTGAGTTGGTTCATGTATGGAATTCTTCATATGTTGTCTGGGTAATCCATTTTTGGGATCTTAACCCAAAAATTGTATGACCTAACTAGTTCATCAAATTGTAATGCTTTTCTTCATATAAATTTTAAGTCACAATCCGGAATTTACCAGCCGATTTGACCTTTGGTTACTAATCACCGAATCCCTACTCTGCCCCAACCCGAGCCAACCTCTTACGTAGTCAACTAGTCGTGCTATGAAATAATTAATATACATATTTATGTTTACATTGGCTTTTGAAATAACAAATACATAGAAGACAGATTACAAGTTAAATAGTCAATTATTTGAATTGAATGGACGAACGCTAGCTAGTTTACTTGTTGATGAATTGAACACTAAATCAGTTCTGATAAATTAGTATGGTCCAAATCAAAGCATTTTGTAAGTCACGTTGATATGAATCATACAATTTGAATGCAGTCAGCTTACTATGCAATGGTTGATTGATCCCCTGTCCTGTCTCTGCTGCTGTATATAAAAGCAGAGCATGTGAGCCTACGAGAATCCAATCCACAAACCCTCTCTCCTATCTCCTCACTAATTAGAAGCTGCAAAGCATTCCCGGGATGGCGGTCCTCAATAACAAGTTGTTCTTCCTAGCTTCCATATTCATTCTGGGAGCTCTGGCTTCTCAAGCCATGGCACGCTCTGCCCCTCACGAGGCCGCCATGCGCCTTAGGCACGAGCAATGGATGGCTCGTTATGGGCGAGTTTACGGGAGTGCCAACGAGAAGGAGGCACGGTACCAGATATTCAAGGACAATGCAGCCCTCGTCGACTCGTTCAATGTTGCCGGGGACAAACCTTACAAGCTAGGTACCAACCAGTTTGCGGATCTGACGAACGAGGAGTTCAGAGCAACTAGGAACAGGTTCAAGGGCCACATGTGTTCCGCGCAGCAAGGACCCTTCAGGTACGAGAACGTGACTGCAGTGCCGACCACCATGGATTGGAGGAAGAAGGGAGCCGTCACTCCAATCAAAGATCAAGGCCAGTGTGGAAGTTGCTGGGCATTTTCAGCGGTGGGGGCCATGGAAGGGATCACTCAACTCAGTACTGGAAAATTGGTATCCCTTTCGGAGCAAGAATTGGTTGACTGCGACACCAAAGGAGAGGACCAGGGTTGCAGCGGCGGGTTGATGGATGATGCTTTCAAATTCATCATCGCCAACAAGGGTTTGACCACTGAGGCCAATTACCCATACAGTGCTGCCGATGGATCCTGCAGTGCTAGCAAAGAAGGCAACCACGCAGCTACAATCAAAGGGTATGAAGATGTACCGACCAACAGCGAATCCGCATTGCTGAAGGCGGTAGCTAATCAACCGATTTCAGTGGCAATTGATGCAGGGGATTCCTCGTTCCAGCTCTACGAGAGCGGGATCTTCACCGGAGAATGTGGGACTGAACTTGACCATGGAGTGACCGCTGTCGGATATGGTGATAGCGGTGGAATGAAGTACTGGTTAATCAAGAACTCCTGGGGAACTCAATGGGGAGAGGAAGGATACATCCGAATGCAGAGAGATATTCCTGCCAAGGAAGGCATATGTGGCATTGCAATGCAAGCTTCTTACCCCACCGCCTAAAATCAAAGCTTCTACTCAGCATGCATGCATAAGTACTAATTAATGCATATATTTTATGCTTGTAAATAGCTTTGTGAAGTACTTTATGTAACTATGTATTATGTACTTCTTGTTGTTCATTGCCGTCTTCTATAAACAAAAGGGGATTAGCTTCTACGCCGATACGTTCAAGATATTATGTAAATCTATATGTCTAGTAATTAAAATCATCCTTTCTTTATTTCCGTTGCATAATTTTCATCATCTCTATTCTTGTTTATTCAGGGAAATTAGTATCTGTTGCTAGGGCTGAAAATTTGTCTGTCCCGTCCCTGTCCCTTCTCTGTCCCTGTCTGACCCGTCCCTAAAGGGTCAAGATGTATAACCGTCCCGTCCCGTCCCTGTCTCCTTCTTGACCCTGTTTGACCCTCAAGGGTTGGGACGGGACGGGACGTGCCGGGTCAGTGGGTCGACCCTAATCAACACACTACTTTTTTACAAATTACGTTTTGGTACCCAAAATTATTTTTTCTTACAATTTAGTACCTAAATTTTATTTTTTTTACAAATAAGTCCATAAATTTTGATGGTAAAATTACGTTTTGGTACCCAAATTTTTTTATTTTTACAAATTAGTACCTAAACTTTTAAAACTTTACAAAAAGGCCCAATGAAGTATGAGATATTTGTTGTTGCTAAGGGTCACAGAGTCAAAACGTAACCCGTCCCTAAGTTGTCCCGTCCCGGCCCTTACAGGGTCAACAAATGACCCGTCCCTAATCTGTCCCTGAAGACAAACTGACCCGTCCCGACCCTTAGGGACGGGACGGATCGGGACGGGTCAGTGGGTCTTCAGGGACAAGCTTTCACCCCTATCTGTTGCATTATGACTCTCTATATTTGCATTTATATGGTCATTTTCAAAGGTATCTTTTCTTGTATGTTGTAGTCCAGTTTTGAGGACTAATTTGTTTGTTTTACTTTGCTATTTTGGTATGACGGTGTGATTAACTGTTCTATTATATTTTCACTTTTTCGCTTGCACCACTTGTGAATCATATTACTTAGTTTCTTGTTCTTTCCTCTTTGTTTTCTTGTATGTTTTCTTATAGTTGCTACGACTAGTCTGTAATCTCTCTCCCACCTCTTTGTTTTCTTGTTCCTGGCTTTTTGCCTCCCTTCACGCAAAAAATATTACTTATTTTCTTCATGTCTATAGCCTGTGTTAATGAAAGCAGCACTCAATTTCTTCAAAAATCAAAGTATTGAACAATCACCGCAATCGGGTACGACAATTAGAATTTATTCAATCCATTACTTCCCTATTGGTATTTGAGAATCATTTTTATTATCCAGAGTACCTTTTAATGCATCTTACTAATATTATTAGGGCTGGGAAACGGTGCGATCTGGTCCAGACCAGACCATATATACGGTCTATGGTCCAGACCGAGAGGCTGAAGTATAGACCACAGACCAGACAACAGACTATACGATTCGGTCCAGACCACGCCTGTGCGGTTTGGTTCGGTATGGTCTGGTCCAGATAGACCACACTCAACGAAAAATGAACAATTTATTTAGTCTACCACACAAAAAATTGAACCAATAACTAAGAAAAATAATTGTTATTTGCCTTAAAACATTAATCCTAACATGCATGCATAATTTTGATACCTAATTCTTAATACATAACAAAGATTTAAAGTAAAAGCATCCCAACTTGCACCATAACGTCATAAAACATTAACATAATGTCATATTGAGACATGATTATCTCTACTCTCTGGTTAAATGTTATTGTGAATGAAGGAGAGACGAGATCCACAAAATTAAGGTTGAGACTTGGGTGTCGTTGTGGGAGTTGGGAGAGTGGTCAAATGGGCTGTTAACACATATTGACAAGTCGGTTGGGTCCACGGTTTGGTCCGGTAAACCGCAGTCTAGACCAAACCAAAAGAACAAAACATAAAATAATACAGCCCATGGACTAGACCAGTTCATACTTAACGGACTACGGTCTGGACCAAACTGTACGGTATGGTTTGGACCATGGTTTTTCTAACGGTCTGGTCTATTTTCCCAACCCTAAATATTATTGGCAACACTTTTATGTGTCTAAGTCTAACCGAATTCTTTTATTTATTCATGATATTTGGGATTTTTTTATTGTATTTACTTTATAAGGTAATTTGGGTATATGATTATCCTTATTTGTAATCATTTATTTTATTTAATTTTAAATATATGATATTAAATTCGGTTTGTTGTGAGACTATCCTTCCTGTTGAAATACCTTTTACTTTTACTGTATCTATCGAGATGTCAAATCATGGTTATTAATATTAGAACTTTTTAGTTATCTTCATTATTTAAAGGATTATAGGTATAATGCAAATAACGATATTCCAGCAATTACAAGTATAAAATGATCTTTCAATACCTCAAATGTTCCAAGCTAATTTATGTTGGGTGCATTTCTTTATCGACTTTTTCTGCCTCAATAGCAGCAGATTAGAAAACTTGGGCAGGCAGAACTGTGCTGAGGGTTAGCCAATATTTGGCAGCATTTTACAAGTGCTTTGTTTCAAAAGTTGAAATGGGGCCAAACACCTATAAAAGTTCGGCTTTTGAATAGTCGAAAATTATTTTTGTATAACATAAAAGTAGAAGCTCCGATTTGGAGCTTTCTGTAAAAAGTTGTTTTGAAAATACAAGATTATCCTTATCATAGTTTAATTTTAATTCATTTATATCATTTTAAAAATAAAATAAATTATAAAATTATATTATTTAATATGAAAGAAATATAACAAGATTCATTTGGACTACTTTTTATTATTTAGATTTTTTTATTATAAGTCTTTTACGGTCATTTTACAAAACCTCTCATATTAAAAAAACACTTCTAATAGTTTTTCAGCCAAACACTCCACTGTTTTTTTTGGAAAGTACTTCTCTAAAATTAGAGAAATTCAAGTCAGAAGCTGCTTCTGCAAAAGCCACAACAAACCAAACTAGCCCTTAATTAGATTACATCATCATAAAACAACAAAATTATGTTCATGAATAAGTAATGTGTTTGTCATTGATTTACTGAAATGGAAGCCAACACTTTCTTTAGGAACATATAACGAAACTCTATGTTGGGTCACAGTACATAGCCAAGCAGTAAGTTTTCAATCTGATAAACAGACTTTGAAGAGGATGAACGTGATTCACAAGAATCTGTGTTCCCGGAAACTGCAGAGTAACAATAACAAATAAATCACTCACAAAACGGGGATCCTTATCCTTTATTTGATGGTAAGAGTTGTCCTATAGCCAAGCAAACAGGCTGGTACTGTTACATCACAAATCTATGGGCCCCACGGATTTGGTCTCCAAAAAATGTGCAAGCAAACAACGGATTGTACCTAAATCCTTGATAGTTGGTTTTTTGGTACCAAATCCATGTACCAAATCCTTGAAGCAAACGACCCTATATTTAACAAAATAGAAACAGGAAACCACAAAGTGCCTAAATGATCAGCCTTGTTCACATTATGTGAAATCAGCACACATCCAGATTCCTGAAACGAAGGCTAGTACATATACTCCGCTTTTGAATAACACCCAACATACATAGATGCATGGCGGCCATCATATTGGCTGATAAGAGGAAGCACCAAAGCTAAATAGAGATCTGGTTTTCCAAGTTCCAGACTGGCTCGCAGAAGGGGAGAGTCAGATGATGCAATCTGGCTAGTAGTTTACCATTAGATCAATCAATTCTTGGCTTATCTGCAAAGTCATATAAGATCAAAGAAATCAAGTTTCAATTTCTATCGACTGCATACCAAGTAAAACAACCAGTCAGTTCTTACCTCTGGAAATGCAGAATTGACCCAGTCACCGAAATTAGTTCTAGTAAGGAAGGAGTTCTCAAGAAGCTTCTCGTTCTCAGCTTCAAGACTTGGTGCAGCTGAATTATAAAGCTCCCCCTCGTAAGGAGTCGGTTGTTCTACTTGTACCGTCTGGTGCGGGTGGATTCCACTAACGGAGTCCACTAAATTGTACAGTTTATCATTCTCGAAAATTGAATGACTTTCCAAATCTTTCGATGGCATCACTAGAGATGAGCACCCATCGTCTTTAAGTGGTGATACATGACTTCTCAAATCACAAGCCACTAGGCAACTCGCCTCGCTATATTCACGACAAACTTGATAATCATCGATTTTCACTGGAGGTGTAATGGGAGTTAAGAAATCAGAAATCTTCATACAGTTTGCTTCACTGTACTCACAAGATGGTGACGTTTGATTTCCAAAATCAGAAATCACTAGGCGACTCGCCTCACTACTATCACAAGTAGTCTGCACTATGCTCGAACACCCATTACCTCCCAATAGAGGTGGCCTTTGATTTTCACAATCAAAAGCATTAGGCAGAGTTGCCTTGTAACTAGGGTTGGATTTTCCAACATCAGAAATAGGGTGACACTGCTCACGGCTGGAATGCATGGTCACACGATGATCTAGCTTGTTATCATTTTTATTGATCCGTTTATCTCTCTTCCTCTTCAATTTGCAAAGTGTGAAATTTTCCTGCAAGTGATACACAATTACCAACCTAACTTACGCTGCATGTACATTTGTAAAATGTCTTACCCTATAAAATGGTATAACGAATGAAGAACCAAATCACACCACCAGATAATCATATCAAACTTCTACTATTATGTCTTGATAACAAATAAAGGACACAAAGCAGTTGAAACATGTACCATAATGTAAGTGAAATTAACAACAATAGAACATCGCAAAAGGAATGCCAACACTACACCATCAAGTATTTCATGCATGTATGTAAGCAAAAAAGTGCTAAATTCAGCATCGACCATGGAAACTAAATTATGATATGTGGAAGTACCAATGAACAAGCAATTTACCTTAGATGGTGAGTTTGGATCCGCTATGTACTCATACTCATGCATCACATACTGTGTGATGATTCCTTTAGAAGAACCTTCCTCCTTTTTATAGAAAACCAAAGTCTTCTTCGTACCAATTTTTTTCTTGGTTCTCTTCATCTTTACCTCACGCACCTTGCCCGTAGGTTTCCAATGACCATTTTTCGTAGTCCTATTTGATCTTTTGCTGTTGACATATTTATAATGACGCGGACAATAACAATAAAAAATCCACTCATCAAGTTTATTGTCCATCCAACCTGCAAGCAAGGGTGTATACCTTTGTTATGTTCATTTTGGTTTGAAAGAACATCACTAATGCGAAGGAGAGAGCATGCCCTACCGAGTAACTCCCAAGGATCAAAAGAATACACTTTGATCTCAGGTATGGAAATAGAACCAGTATTCTCGCCAAGTAATTTATAACGCAAATAGTAGTTCACGAGTTCATCATCGCGAGGATGAAATCTGAATCCCACCGCCCGGGCAGTAGCCGTGGACTCAGCGGCTCCCTCCATTACTAGCAAATGAAAAAAAAAAAGTTTCTCAGAATTCAACACAAGCAAAACAGGAGAACAATAAAATTGTGAAGGGAAAAGCAAATGGAGTTTTGATGGGCTCATCACCTGATGTGAAGTTAGGATTCATTCCTCTTCCTAAAACAGGAAAATTGTTGGTCTGGAGAAGCTGGAGCGCTTACGATCGCTTGAGGAATCGGAAGGGAGGGAGAGGAACGGATTGCTGTGTGGATGATCTTTTTCTGGCGTTTGGGGATCAGCTCTGCATCAAGCGTGAGTGCGAAGTGGAAGAGTGAAATGGTGAAGACTGAAGACGAATGGAGCGTCTTTTATTGCGATGACCACACTACTTCTCTAAGAAGTAGTCTGAAATTAGTGGGGGGGAAAAAAGTAGAAAACGCGGAATTGAATTGGACTAAAAGGAGCTCGTGGACCCCGGATGCCTGGCCCATTTTAATTTCAGGCGACCCGACCCGGTCCCTTAACAACTCCAGTCTCCAAGCACGCTTTCAAAACCCTGCACTCCATATCCGCCGTCATCGGTTTCGGGTTCAAGCCTCCTTCACGCCGAAGCTGTCGATTGTTCTCTCTCGCCGCCGGGAACTCTGCTCAAATTTAATTGTGGGAAAATGGCTGGTAAGGGTCCTACAATCATTGTTTGAGTTCTTGTGCTTTAACTGTCTCTGTTACTGGAAATTCAAGTCCTGCTATTACTTGTGTTCCAGGTGGTAAGAAGAAGAAGGAAGTGAAGAAGGAGACTGGCTTGGGGCTCTCTTTTAAGAAGGATGAAAATTTTGGAGAGTGGTATTCAGAGGTATGTTTTTGGATCTTCTAATTTAGTTATTTTGAGTGCAATTTCAATGCCGTTAAACACCTATGTGCAAATGGGTCTTCCTCTATTCAACTATGTCCGTAGATGAACTATGGTCTTCAGTTCAATTGAAAAGCAGAAGAGTAGTTACTATCCCATGTTGTCCTTTAGGTGATCTGTTTTTCCCCGTTAAGCTGAGGCTAAAATAACATGGTGCAGCTTCTGCCTTGTCATCCTTCTTATCGAATCTATGTTTTTTCGGCTTCTACAGGTGGTTGTCCATGGTGAGATGATCGAGTACTACGATATTTCTGGCTGTTATATTTTGAGGCCATGGTCTATGGGTATATGGGAAATCATGCAAGTAAGGAAACATTCTCCAAAGTGCTTTCTTCTTTAAGCTTTGTAGATGTGTTACCTTTGTGGTATGCTCCCAGGCTAGATTGCCGAAGTTATACGCCTCTCTTCGAGAATTGTCCAGGCCCCTTCATTCCTGTCCTATTTTGTTGAAATTGCCTGGACGATTGATGGACGGTATTGACATGAGTACTCTCTTCTAAAGATGATATGAGCAAACATTTATGTTCTTTCATCAAGTGTTACCTGGGCGGAGAGCTTCCCCACGACTTGTTTTGTTTTTTTGGTTTAGAATTTGCTTCTTTGATTGATCATTTTATTTCCTCAGACAGCACATTGGTTAAGTGGCTGATGAAATCTTTGATTGTGTTGCCTTGTAGGTATTCTTTGATGCAGAGATCAAGAAGATGAAAATAAAAAACTGCTATTTCCCTCTTTTTGTATCATCTAGTGTTTTAGAAAAAGAGAAGGATCACATTGAGGGCTTTGCTCCTGAGGTGAGTCGTGAATTTTGTTCCTACTATCTGAACATATAGCTGATCAGTCAAGGATGGGAAAGCTTCACCGTTTTATTTACTTTTCCCCCCATCTCATTATCATACTTTTTAATAAGAATAGCAATAGGTTTATCACAAACATGATAGAAGATTAAGGAGAGAACAGCTCACCTCTTAACACCTATAATGATGTTGATATCGTGTTTCATATATTCGTTATTCTCAGGTTGCGTGGGTCACAAAATCTGGGAAATCTGACTTGGAAATTCCAATTGCCATTCGTCCCACTAGTGAAACTGTGATGTATCCGTACTTCTCCAAGTGGATAAGAGGACACCGTGATCTGCCTCTGAAACTCAACCAGTGGTGTAATGTTGTTCGTTGGGAGTTCAGCAATCCTACTCCATTTATCAGGTGCTCTGATTTTTCATGTTCGTCTCGTGGGCTTTTTTGAATCAGTTTCTTTTCGATCCATTTTTCCTTAATTTTGGTGTTTTGTGACAATGCTTTGAACGACATCCTTCAACCATAGGAGCCGTGAGTTCCTTTGGCAAGAAGGGCATACTGCTTTTGCAACAAAGGAGGAAGCAGATGAAGAGGTGCAAACATTAATTTCAAGTTGCTTGATTGCATATCAAATATTTAACCGTAACCTCCCTGACTATGTTTTTTTTTTCTTTTCTTTCATGATGCTCTATTTGATTCATTGTACGTTCCTTTAATTTGAGTCTATTCTTTAATATCATATATGTTTGGTGTTGAGATCTAAGTAGTCAACCCATTTATGTTTCTGATAGCTGAATATGGTGTGGCATCTCATTGTTTAATCGTTGTTTAAAATGAGAGATTAATGTTCTATTGGCAAGTCTGATCCCAATCAATCGGAGTACTTTCCTGAGAATTGAGATGGATATGTAGTCATAGGATCTTGCTTGAACAAATTCCTGAATGGCTAAGTGTTCCTGAGAATTGAGATGGATATGTAGTCATAGGATCTTGCTTGAACAAATTACTGAATGGCTAAGTGGTGATTACCCTTGTAGTTGCTAGCATGCCTCAATAAGATATGCACTAGTTACTTTATCTGAGTATGTAGTCTGGCTTGTCAAGAACCTAATGTGTTTTCCTGGAAGTAGACCTTTGATTCTTTCCACGTGAAGAAACCTGCTTAGGATCTTATTATTTCAGGTCCTTCAAGTATTGGAGCTGTACAGACGCATTTATGAAGAATTTTTGGCAATCCCTGTCATAAAGGGCAAAAAAAGTGAGATGGAGAAGTTTGCTGGTGGGCTTTACACAACTAGTGTCGAGGTAAACAAGGGACATTACTTGTCATCATTTGCCTGAGACAACACTGTTCATATGTGGTTTACCTGTTGGTTTAGTGTACTGAAAATCTTTAACTTCCAATGTATATCAGGCATTTATTCCTAACACTGGACGTGGTGTACAAGGTGCAACTTCACATTGCTTAGGACAGAACTTTGCAAAAATGTTTGAGATTAACTTTGAAAATGAGAAGGGTGAGAAGGGTATGGTCTGGCAGAACTCTTGGGCTTACAGTACTCGGACGGTAAACTCTTTTGGTTGTTATCATACTTATTTGCATGTTATCTTTGACTTCTTGGTAGTGAAGTTACTTACAATGATGTTCTATTTTGTCCTTGCCATCTTCATTTCTCTCTTTTGGCTGCTTTCAATCCTAAAATTTACTGTTACCTGCTTAATTCCTGCGTCATTTCTACAAATGGCATTCGTTTACTGCTAAATGTGGTCTGTTGTGCATTTGAAACTCATTTTAGAGCTTTATGTCTATAGATTGGAGTGATGGTAATGGTTCATGGAGATGATAAAGGATTGGTTCTGCCACCTAAAGTGGCATCAGTTCAAGTTGTTGTGGTTCCTGTACCTTACAAGGATGCTGATACTCAAGGAATTCTTGATGCTTGTACTGCGACTGTGGAGACCTTGTCTGAGGCCGGTATCCGTGCCGAGAGTGACCTTAGAGATAATTACTCGCCTGGATGGAAGTACTCGCAATGGGAAATGAAGGGTGTTCCTCTTAGGATTGAGATAGGGCCAAAGGACCTGGCAAATAATCAGGTGAGGGACCGTATTTTAGTTGTATGTATATATGTGCATTGGTATTAGAGTGTTGTGCACTGAACATATTTTGTTTGATTGTAGGTCCGTTGTGTTCGTCGTGACAATGGTTCAAAATCAGATATAAAGAGGGACAATTTGGTTGAGCAAGTTAAGACCTTGCTGGATAACATTCAGCAGAGCCTGCTCGATGCTGCTAAACAAAAGAGGGATGCCTCTGTTCAAGTTGTGAAGACGTGGGATGAATTCAAAGATGCTCTCGCCCAAAAGAAAATGATCTTAGCTCCTTGGTGTGATGAGGAGGTACAAGACATTTGATGGAGACCTTTTTTTTATCGCTCGCGTGTAACTCTGAATAGAGAAGATTGGCTTGTATGGCGTTCTTGTTTTCTTTTGGTTTTCTTGCATATCATTATTTGCTGTATTTATCCGCAGGAAGTGGAAAAGGATGTTAAAGAGCGGACAAGGGGCGAAATGGGGGCAGCTAAGAGTCTTTGTTCCCCACTCGAGCAGCCAGAACTCCCTGAAGGTCTGTGGCTCTTTCCATGTCGTCGATTCAGAACAGCCCTGCTTTTAAAATATCAATGGATATGGATTGCTGTAATTTTGGCCATAGAAAAGCAATTAGCAGCATCACTAGGCAGAAATTAGAAAGTAATCATGGTTCTTAGCTCCCCCTCCGTAATTACATTTGTTTGGACTTGTGCAGGGACTATATGCTTTGCCTCAGGTAAGCCGGCGAAGAAGTGGACTTATTGGGGCAGGAGTTACTAGGGCTATTTATTTACTGTGAGGTGCTCTTCAAATTCGGGCGTATGCTTCAGTGTCTTGTTTTAACTTAGCAGTTACTGTAATTGCTGTCTAAAACTGGCATTGTGGGGTTTTAAACTAAACAGCACTGTGTTGGTCCAAGATGTTTGCTACTTCTGATTATTCTGGATATGCATGTTCTCACATACATTCTTTCTTTTGTTAGAGATTGGAGTTCGAGGATCCGTTTTTGTGTCTAAACAAGCAGACCCTCATAAACAATGTTTGCTTTTAGCTTCTTAGAGTTGCATCATTCAAGCTGTTCACTTTTTTTTGTTTTTTTTGTTTTTTTTGCGAAGAGAAGCTTATTGGGCTTGAAGCTTTGAACTAATAAGTACTGTGGTTAGATGTATCGGGAGGATAAAATTTGCATCCAATCTCAATTATTTTGGAACTAAGTGAGTTCCACATATCCTTTTCGCCTTTTAACATAATTTCCAACACAAGTGTATTTGCAAACATAATAGCATGTGATTTAAATAGCTCGCAATGGAGACAAATAAATCTACACGTTCTCGTGAAAATTACTTGTAATCTTCCCAGACGAAGAAACTTACATAGTTGTTACAACTAAAATTTATTTTATTATGAATTTTCTTACTAGGTAATTCTAACCATGATTCCGGCTAATTATCATAAATGATCACAAAACTATTCACTTTGTATAAAACGGTCACAAACCTTTAATTTTGCACGTTCAGTAACAAACGTTTGGACTAATAACAAAAAGGTAATTTCATCCATTTCCATCCAAAATTCTGTTAGT